TACAGCCCACTTCTTCGGATGCATTATATTTTTCCGAAGAAGTGGGCTGTAGTCCACGAAAGCTTATGCTCTAATAAATTTGTTAGTCTCTAAGGTGCCACAAGTACTCCTGTTCTTCTTTTTGCGGATACAGACTAACACGGCTGCTACTCTGAAACCTGACATTTTTAATAGTTAAAACTGAAACAAAACATTTGGAAATGATTGAAACCAAATATTTTGATTGACACAACCCCCTTTTATGTATGGACGTATGTATTTATTTATTGGGATTTTCTGTTTGCAAACATTTTTGTCCCAATTTTGGGCTGGGAATTTTTTTAAATCTCAGTTTTTCTCGGAATGGGAAAAGCTGTCCGTACTCGGGTGGCTAGCCTGAGCCACTGCCTGTGTCGCCGCGGCTAGTATTTTTTGGTGCGGTCTCCAGCGACTTAGCGCATGGACATCAATCCGAGCAGGGAATCACACTTCCCAGCTGCAGTGTAGGTGGACCTCTAGTGAATACAGTGTCCCCAAGGTGCTAGCTACCCTAGGGGGTGCAGGGAGGGCTGGGGCCTTTCCCCATCCCTGCCTCCATACTGGCAGGAGATGTGACTGTGAGGCACCTTCTCCAAGAGAAGCGCACCCCTGAAACCCACAGGGGAAATCCCAACTTCCTCAGCTGGAATTCCCCTTCGGGGCCTCTGCCCAGCCCTCCAGCACACTAGGGGGCACCAGGGACAGGGTCTTCCCGGACCCCTTGAAGGGAAAGAGAGGCAGAGTGAGGCATGGCCCCTGAGCTAGGGGAGAGTGACAACAGATTGAAGAAGAGTAGGAGCTTCCCCTCTGCTCTCAAGAGAAGGGACGGGGCTATCCTCCGCCCCCCCAGCTCCGCCTTTCTTTAGCTCTGAGTGTGAGTGGATGAGCTGCCCGTGCACCCAGAGTTACTGCACAGGGACTGGAACGGCCCCAGTGCTCAGCAGGCAGGCAGGGTTTACAGGACTCTGGGTTCTAGTTGCACTGGGACACGCACGAGCAATAACCAGAGGGTTCCTCCCTCCTGCCAGTCCCGACCGGCTGCTTTCTGGCATTTGCTGCACCATACAGAATGCTTGCGGCACCCTTATTAAACGGCACTGGAGTGACTGAGGTAGTGGCTGAGCCAGGCTTGCCAAATGCATGTACATCACAGTACTTTCTGTATTTCCTCCCCCGTTTCTTTCCTTTTTAAGGCATTTGATGCCACAGATGAAGAAGAACCAGTCCGCAATGATGGAGAACATCCAGGCTGGGAAGCCATCGGACTGGGAAATGGAGGCTAGAAAACACGAAAGGCCAGAAAATATCCTTGCTTCATCTCAGTTCCCCGAGCAGGAGCTAAAGGCCATGTCCATCCCCTTGCAGGCGATCCCGGAGATGGACTATGAAACTCCCCCAGCCGACCCAATGGGAAATGCTGAGAGATCTGTCAGGACCTCAATGGAGCTGCTGCAGGATGCTAGAAGCTTTGCTCCACACTACGAAGAGTTGGACTATGGGGGGGAAGTTTTCACCCTGCCAGGTCCCTACGAGGACGAGACCTTTCAAAACCTGGCGCTTTTCGAGAACTGCTCCCCGGCCTCCTCCGAATCCAGCCTAGATATTTGCTTTTTAAGGCCTGTTAGCTTTACGGTGGAACCCGACAGGACAGAGCCCTCGGCACAGCCACTGCCGAAAAGCAGCAGCGCCTACAAGCAGGAGGCCTTTCACAGCAAAGGCAAGCAGCTGAGCAGGTCCCTGAAGGAGTTCCCCAGGAGCACTGAGGGCATGAGCGCCAGACTCTACAGCACCAGGAGCAGCTCCAGTAGCCAGCTGCAGCACAAGCAGGAGAGAAGCATGCAACCTCACCTGATCTCGGCATCATCTAGAAGCTCCCAAAGGAGCTACTTCCCCCCGCCGAGAGGGCTGGGGGAGAAACAGAGCTTTTTGGAAGTAAGGAGGCGAAAATAAAAAAAGCAACATTTTGCAGCAGGGTCAGAGAAACTTTTAAGGGAGAATTTTCCAAAATAGCTTCCAAATTGGCACATGCAAAGCCTTCCCCTGCACAGACACGTCAGGTAGTGAGAAGCAGAAGGGCACAATTTGCACCCAAATACCAGGCTGCAAGGGGGCAAATGCAGGTTTGGTGAATGCAATTTTGTGGGTGCAGGTTCATAGATCACTTTCGAAAATTTGGCCCTTCTTAGGTGTCTGACTTTTTTCTCCCCCTGTCACTGAGCCCCTACGATCCATGCTTTTCTCAGCCCCCTGCAGCAAGCCCCTCGATGGAGGCAACAGGTTAACAATGGAGCACAGCCCTTTGAAATGAGGGCTCAGACCGGCTTGGGGTGGGCAAAAGAGGCAGGGCCAAGAGCTCCTGCATTAAAGGAAGACAAATGCCGTTAGGGCCAGAGCCGTAGCTGCTATAAATCAATGTGGCTCCACCGAAGCCGATGGGCCCAGATCCCCAGCAGGTGCAAACCATTTCAGCACCACTGAAGTCGGCCCAATTGCAGCCGCTGAGGACCTGGCCCACAAGGTCTAGCCGAGCTGCCACCTGATCTAGGTCTCCTGAAGCAGGGCCCTGCTGTGGTAACCCCAGCTCTGTACAAGCTCATACAAAGGGGATGGCTTAGAACAGGACACAGCACGAACCCTAACACAGGGCCAGGTCAATTCAGACCTGGGGGGCATTGTCACCTCTGAGAGGATCCTCCAGGGATGGGCACTCTTGGCCTGTGTGCAGAGCTGGGGAATGCCCAGCAGGGGATGGGGAGGAGGGAACAAGGAAAGCCGCAGAAACACTAAAGAGAGAGCGCAGGAGCACAGACAATGAAGATTAGAAAACGGTGAGGAGGATGGAGAAGCGACGGAGGCAGGGCCGAATGCCTGGGGACCAGCCTGCGCAGAGTTGTTAATAATTACCCCTAGCTCTTATCTAGCACTTTTCATCAGTAGATCTAAAAGTGCTTCACTCAAGGAGGGTGGGATCCTTGCCCTCATTTTACAGATGAGGAAACTGAGGCACAGGGAGGTGACGGGACTTGCCCAAGGTCACCCAGCAGGCCAGTGGCAGAGCTGGGAATAGACCCCAGGTGGCCAGTCCAGTGCTTCATCCGCTAGACCACACTGCTTAGTTAAGCAGGCATCAAAAGTAGTGGAGGTCTCTGGGGACACTGCCTGCCTGGCAGTGAGCCGGGGGGAGCAGAAATCAGCACTTAACGCTTGAGTATAGGAGGAACTTGTCTAGGATAGCTATTGCAGAACACTCCCTGCTCGCATTCTGGAGTAGCTATAGTGCTTTAAACTCACACTCTTCCAGAATCACTTCCCCATGCAGCCCACCCGTTAGAGGAAGGGGCCCTACAGCATCATTTCCTCAGCACCAGTGGGAGGAGTCCCTCACTGTCACACTTACGTTACAGTCCATGTGTCAGTGACAGGTGACCTCATGCTGTGTCCTGCGGGTGCACATACAGCGAGTGACAAAGCCAGCAGCACCATCCACCCTCCCCCAGAGGCGCCCTCCGTCCAACACAGTGAGCATGCCCGATGCAGCATCCACTGGTGGAGGTGCCACTGCCCTGCACCGCTTTGCCCCATGGTTGGTGAAGGGATTCTGAATCCTTGCAGATGAAAAGCCGGAGCGTTGGTAACAGGGACATTGTTCAGCTCTCTGACATGGCTTAAAACAGTCACTTTGTATAAGGGTTATTTTTACCCCCTCAATTATTCTTCCTTGGTTTCCCTGGCTTTACAGACCCCACATTAACAGCTGTGCAGAGGCATCACTACTGCAGAAGTCTGAGCGATGGAGCAGTCTAACCCACACAGACAAATGCAGAGTGGAATAAGGTGGAAATTTTTAACCGTGAGGGTAATTAACTACTGGAACAACTTACCAAGGGCTGTGGTAGAGTCTCCCTCACTGGCAATTTTAAAATCAGATTGGATGCTTTGCTAATAGAGATGCTGTAGTTCAAACAGGAATGATTGTAGGGCAGTTCTATGGCCTGTATTATGCAGGAGTTAAAACTAGATGAGCACAATAGTCCTTTCTGGCCTTGGAATCTATGAAACCAGACTCCTCAACGTGACCTGGCTGTCAGGGTCCTCCGTTTCCTCCACTGCAGAGAGAAGGGTGAGGTTGTAAATGCTGGTTAAACCATCTTTTCCGTTTTAGGAGCTACATGCAGAAGACAACACCAGGTTCTGCCAGAAGGATGACAACGAACAAACATCCTTCAGCGAGCACAACCCGCGGCAGGAACCCAAAGGGGGCTTCCGGAGCTCCTTCCGCAAGCTCTTCAAAAAGAAATGAGCAGCCCGGCAGGAGGTGGGCAGTGATCTGACTGCTACAGCTCTTCCCCTGAGCCCTGAGATAGCCGACAGAAAACAAGCCGGGGCTGCAACTTCCAGGTCCACGGCCAACACATAGAAAAGAGCGGGGAGGTTTCCATTGCTGACTCACAAAAGCATCTGGCTCTCCCTAAAACAGCGGCGGGATGCACGGTGGATCGAAACGGAGATTGTTAGGGGTGGGGCAAATTGATTTGGTGACAACAGGAACCCACTGAGCCTTCACCCAAAACCTAAACTCAACTTTCCATCAACTCCCACCCTCAATCATTTTTCTCTGCCCTGCCACGTTCCTTTGAGGCCCAAAAGGAAGTGCACGTGGGAGAGGCTGCACTTGTAGGTTTTCAGACTGCCTGGAAGCGGGAAGAACTTGGCTGAACAGGATTCCCAGCTTGATATTGCAGGGCTGAGAGGTTCTGATGAGCTTCGGCTGGACCCTGGCTTTCTGAACTTCACCGTCTCTGGTGGCTCTGCTGTAACTTCCATTTTGCATGACTCCCTCTGATCGTTTCAATGCTGTAGGAACAGTTACTCTTGCTGCCCATGTTCTTATGATATGTGATTTGTATTTTGGCAGCCCTTAGTGATCATGGCCCCATTATGCGAGGCGCTTGGTCACATGTGCAGTTTACAGGTCCCCTTTTATTTGTTTGCTATAGAAAACTCAGCCTGGGGCCTGCATCTCAGTGTGTCTGTACAGCACCTGGCACAATGGGGCCGTGATCTTGGTTGAGGCTTCCAATGCTACTATGGTGAACAATCGTGACTGTATGAAAGCTCCGTACCTTCCCTGGCCTATGCAGTATCTCGTGAATTAACCTGGAATCAATTAGTTTCATGCATTACCAGTTACAAGTGTTTCCTGAGGTATGAGGATTCTTCCCCCCCGCCCCCCATAACGAAGCCATGATTTCCCCCCCCCTGCTCATGCCATGGCAAACCCTTAGCCTCAGAAATGATAGCGACACAGAAAGTTACCTTATATCCTTTAGTTAAAATGAAAAACGGAACAGAAGGAAATCTGTGCCCTTCCTGAGTGCTACACACACTGAGCTCTGGCACAAGAGCAGTTGTTTATGTAGGTCTGTAACTCTGGAGGCAGTTTGTTTATGGATTTGTGTTACTCTAGCGGCTTGGATGCCACCTGGGATTGGACCTCGTTGTGCTCGGCCCTGTACAGAATAAGAGACAGCTCCCTGCCCCAACAAGCTTACAATCTAAACAGACAAGAGCAACACATGGCAAAGGAAAGGTATAGAACATACAAGTAAAGCTCCCAAACCCCAGAACCATAAGGCTGCATGGATCTCTTGCCATTTCCCTGGGTACTTACACTGGAGAGGAGACTGACTAGTATATCGGAATCCTCCTATCAAAATTACAAATGGAGCCACGGACCTAAAAGGTGACCTGGCCCGTTCCACTGCCCCCTTGGGATTGGGCCCCATTGTATGGCTGGTGCATCTGAAATGTGACAAGGTTGAGATCTGGCTACAGAAAAAGAAAGGATGACCCCTCAGAGAGACAAACCTGTTGAGTTCTTCTCAGCTTTCCCTCTATTAGTAGAATAATACTTATTTATTTGTAGTGCCATAGCACCTAGGAACCCTCGTCAGGGACCAGTGGATCCCACTGTGCTTGGGGCTGTACAAACACAGAACAAAGACACGGCGTGTCCCCCAAGAGTTTACAATCTAAGTACGAGAGAAGAATCAATAGATAGATACAGATGGAGGAGAACACGAACAGTGCAACAGTCCTGGTCAGCATGATCAGCAGTGGTGTCTGCACACCAGCTGCCTAACGGTGTTTGTAGACTTCGAGGAGGACAATGAGGTAGCTTTGTGGCTGTCTATGGGGAGCTCCTCCCCAGTGCGAGAGGCAGCAGAGGAGAAAGCACCGAGGGGCTTGTTTGAAAAGGCAACAAGTGGGCAATGGAGGCCGGCGTCATGGGCCGATCGGAGGCGGGAGTCGACATTTCAATAGCAAATGAGAGATGAGAGGCAGGTGGGGATAAGCCTTGAAAGTGAAGACAAGTAGCTTGTGTGTGATGCACGAGAGAAGGGGGAGCCAATGAAGGGATGCAAAGAGAAGGGGGATGTGGTCAAAGTGACGGGCTAGGACACTGATCTTCTCAGCAGCATTCATGGTGGATATGAACAAGACAAGATGACATTAGTCAAAGACAGAGGGAAGGATGTTGCATTAATGAAGATGTGAGAGGAGGAGAACTTGGATGAGTTCTAGCTGTGTGGATGGACATGAAAGGCTGTATCTTAAGAGATGTTGTGCAGCAGGAATCTACAAGATTTAGACATAGCCAGAATGTGAGGATTTAGAGAGACACCCTATTGCAGGCCTGAGTAACAGGCAAGATGGTGGTGCTGTCCACAGTGATTGAGAAAGGAAGTAGGGTTTTCGGGGAGAAATTAGGAGTTCCATTTTAGCCAAGTTTAGCTTCAGCTGGTGGCTACACATCCGTGAGATGTCGTCAGAGAGACTGGACAGATTTTAGTTTGGACAGAAGGAGGCAGTCTAAAGGAGAGAGGTGGATCTGCAAGTCATTGGCATAGAGATGACAGTTGGTTGTGTGTTTGGATGGGATTATCCAGCAAAAGCTGTAGAGGGAGAAGAGAAGGGGGCCAAGGACAGAGCCCTTTGGAACACAGGGCTGGATTAAGGAGATTGGAGTGCAGGAGCTAATGTTTTTTGGAGGCCTCCCAGTATTAATGAGAGGAAAAAGTACCAGCTTATGACAATCAACAAGTCACGTATGATACTGAATAAACATGAAAAGAAAATCAAAAGACAATGAACAGGTTATATATTTCCTGGATAAACATGAAAACATAAAACCTTGAGTCACATGAAAATGTTGCTTGTTTAAACTGACATCTTGTGAGCTTTAAGAGCTGCAAATTCAGTTATTGTATCCTCAGATGACACTGTGCAAAGTAAATCCCATTCAATTGACATGAGAGAAAGAGCATTAAGCTTCACTTCTACTGTAGTTGACCAAAGATGTATTTTTTTTTTTTTTTGGATTAAGGAAAGCTTAGAGAACAATTGCTCTGCTTCAGTTGGCAATGGCTGCAATCAAATACCGTCTCAACACAATGAAGATATTCAGGAAGACATTACTCAAAGCATGCAAAAAGTTGATGATTCCAGTAGCACTTCTCCTGCATGTCACAGTATCTTTTAAATGCTGAACAATAAAACATTTCAGCGAAAGGACCAGGCTCTAGATCATTCAGGTAAGCGTTGAGCAATGCCTGAGTGCATGTTTGCATCTCCTCTTCGCTTTGTTCAAGAAAAATAAGGAAGCCAAATTTTGCAGATAGTTCAGCATAACATTCACTCCTTTTTAGTTCCCAACTTAGTTTATTGAGGAGAACATAAAAACATTCAACTTCATATTTCCTTCTTTCTTGTAGTGTCACTTTCACCATCTGGAAATTTGTGTCTTACAGTACATTTGTATTCTGTAAGCCTTTTGCTTGCGTCTCAAAAATGGTCAAAACTGAGACTGTAACCTTGTGACAAACTCTTGCAAGGAAGTCAGCAAATGAACAGCAACAACAAGATCCAGACGTGGCTTTTGCAGCTTTACACTAGTTTTGTCAAAGCTTGCTAGTATCACAGTCTATAAGATATTCATAACTGCAGTCAGCTCATTTCCTTGTACAACTATTGTGCCTCTCTTCCAGTTTTACCGTTTTCCTTGGCATTGTCTATTGTTTCTTTCAAACAATGTTGAATGCCTTCATAGTCTACTACAATTGTTTTACAAGATTCAGCATGACAGGACCATCTTGACTTCAAAACGGTTTTTAGGGCAAAGAGTTCTTTGCTCACACTCGATAACATTGTTGCACAGAAGCTGCCATATCCTGGGTGATGCTGCATTAAAAAAATAGTTTCTGAACAAAACTGAAAAAGTTTATGGCTTTCATGCAAGAATCAATGCTGCAAGTTCCAACTAAGTTCAGAAAATGAGCTGTGCATGGCACATACACAGCTAGTGGGCTTAGTTTTTGATCTGATCTTCTGATTTTGAAGACCATCATACGTTCCAGACACGGTAAGAACATAAGAGCAGCCATACTGGGTCAGACCAAGGGTCCATCTAGCCCAGTGTCCTCCTGTCTTCCGCCAGCAGCCAACACCAGATGTTACTTGTGTTATCGGATGACTGACCTCTGCAGTTTTCAATAGCAATATTGTTTATGTCCAATAAAAACATCACTGTCTGGATGAGCGACTTGATGGTGTGGTTTTTAATTGGTAGAAACCCAATGAAATGCTCATATGCAGCACCACGTGAGCAGTATTGTAAAAGGACAGATAACTGATTAACATGAGTGATGTCCGGACTTCAATGTATTGTCAAACAGAAGTATTTCACCTGTTTGACTTCAGGGACAATGAATTCTAAAACCTTATGTTTCATTAGCTCAAGGAACTCAACACAGATTGGTTTTGACAGCTAGGATGGGTGACCTTTCCCTTTGTTTCCATAGTGTTTCATGTGCTCACTTAGAAATGGGTCAGTTTTGGCGACGCTTCAAGAATACCTAGATCATTTCTGTTCTGAGGAGAGTTGGTAACTTCCTCCCGTTCTCTAAATACGAATCATGTTCAGCGAGAAGCTTAACTATCACAATACTCCTTAAAACTTCTTTCCAGTAAGTGTTTGTGTTAGAAGCAACTGTACCATTCCCTGTCAAGCCGATGCTTCCTGTCAAGCCGATGTTCCAGTGTGATGTTCCACACTGTTTTCTTGAGAACAAAACCTCTCCTCTTGCTTCTTTCCATTTGGAAATGCCTGGGGTTGTCGGACAATTAAGAGAGTTTGCACATGAAACAGAACAGTGCTCCTGTGGATTTACAATACCTCAACCAATGCCTCTGATAACACTAATTTTACACTTCATTGGTGCATTATACTTCATATGTTGGGAGGGGGGGTCCTACTGCTCACAATCCCCACCCATCTGACAGAGTTCCTTCTGATCCCATCACTGCATGAATCTTACTCTTGCAAGTACCAGGAAGGATTGCTGAATGTCAAATTTCTGATCATCACAGGAATCACCATGTTGAAAAGAAAAAGTAGTTTCTCAGCTACCTGAGAGAAAGAATTTAAATTAATTGAAAGAAATAGGAAAGGAGAGAACTCTGCATCTTGCAAACTATTGATGTTTCAGTTTGTGGAAAAGATCCTGTAATACAAGATGTTGAAACTGCCAAACAGAAATCAAAACACAAAAGCTGTTATAAAAAGTCCAAACATTCCAAGTTTTTTCAAAAGTTTATGGCCCACTCTTGACAACAGAGTTACTTCAGCAGAACTCACCAAACATTTCATGTGGTCAAGCACCACCACGCTTATCTAAGTGTGGATTGCACAGCAAAAGTGACTAGAACTATTTTCAGTGAGTTCAAAATTGCTAAAAGAACTACATTTGTTATCTGGTGGCCACTGATGCCTCCAGCAAAGGTTCCATGAAATGCTCCCCGCTTGTTTTAAAGGTATTTCCATTGTATTACTGGTATTAAATATTGTTTCTTAGATTTTTACAAAGATTGTCATGGAACTTCCTGAGCAATAGGATTGACAACTTTGAACTAAAATGATCGAGCAGGTCAGCACACGAGGAGACAATGTGTGTCAATTATTCTAAATGTGTTTTCCAAAACTGAAAGAGAGTAACAGTGACCTTCTTGCTGTCATGTGTTTAGTTCATGACAACACAAGATTTGCAATGACCAAATGAAACATTGCTGTAGAAAACCTAGTTTAAACGTTTACAGCCATTTTAGCATTTGCTCACCAAGAGTTCAATAACTGGCAGAGCTTTGTGAATTAGCTGGGGTAGAACACAGTAAAAGTCTATGTTATGTTATGTAGTCACACCTTGGCTGTCCTTGTACCTGCTGTTGACTGACTTGCAGTGTGTTAGAATGGGCTTGCAAGTTACTTTCTATCTTTGGGGGAAGATGAAACCCTAAAGTAATCTGGGATAGTTTTGGAGACGAGGGAAGCAAGAATGAAATTGCTGAATTGTACTGTTTCCTCTTGAGTCAGGCTCTACAATAATTTGGACAATAGTGAAGCTCTGGAGTCAAACTCATTCACACTAACTTCATTGTTCGAACTGATGTCCACAAGAAACTAGAATGCAGTATAAATGACAAATTGTATGGTTACGTTCTGAACTCCAAACTGAAGAATCTCAATGATGAAAGTGAATGAAGGAATTGTGTGAAACAGATTTTTTGCTTTTTTCATCACTGAGCTCAAAACAGTTATGACCTCACTGAAAATAATGTGCACAAGAAACTGTCTGTCTTATCATTGGCAAAAGTTTTCTTTTGAAGAATTTACAGAAGCCATTGAAGTCTGCAAAACTGATAGTTATCGACATGGATGAGTTATATGAAAAATTGTGTACAATCAAAGAAGTCATGTCATCTCCTAAATTTCAAGACTGGACAAGTGCTGATGAGAAATACCTCAAGCTTTTCAAAATGAAAGCCAAATAGATGTGGAAACTTAAAGAATTTGAATAAAATTGGTTCTTACATACTTTCCATTTCATGTAGCAATGCATACACTGAAAGGGTAGTTTTGTTAATGAATTTCACCTGGCAAGATGAGAGTAATTGACTGGACGTGGACCCAGTGAAAACCAAGCGACAGAGTTACTGCAGTTTTGAAAATGCTGAGTTCAAAAACAAGTTTCCAGTATTCCTCAACAATAAGATGCTATTAGAGTTGGCCATGCAGGGAAAAAAATACAAGAAGTAGACAATTTAAGGTTCATACAATGCTTTCTATGAAATATTTTTTAATTGAGGGTTTGTCCTCATTTTTAGCTGCAGTAAGAAGGATTTGGCCTCCTTTTTCAGTTCCCTGTGATGGCCACCCGTGTGTAACACCCCAATGGCAATCTCACTGGGACCCGACACCCTTTTGTTTAAAGACTATGTGCCCAGCTGTGTAGGGAGTGCCTGGATGGGGAGGCCCCTTTAGCTGGGTGAGGGCGGGGGGGAAGAACATCGCACAGCGGAGGAATATTGACCTAGGATTTTAAACTGCATCAGGGATGTAACACGGTGCCGTTACCAAGGGATCTGCTGCTTGTGCCATTAGGTCTCCTGCATGCACAGGCCTTTCCCCTCCATAGTACTAAGCTGCTCTTACATCCCCTGAGAGCACCAAGAAGCAGGCACTGGCAGAAACCTGGGAAAGGAGGGAGCCCCTGGTAATATCTCCTGGGGCATGAGAGCGGGAGGTATTCTCAGAATGGCAAAGCTGGCAGATGGGAGCAGCTGAGAGCAACCTGGGAAATGGGGACATTTGTTTCCCTGTAAAATACTCAGTTTTTAGCTGCTGTTTTAGAGAACTTGGAAATTAATAGAACTGGTGGCTGGTACGGTTCTGCTCCTGGATCACTCCTTGTCCCGTTTTGCAGTGTCCTTGGAAAGGTCACAGATTCCGCCAGGTATCGCTTCCATGTCTGCAAAATGTAAACAACAGGCGTGAAGGGTGCTCAGCCCTTGGCTTGCTCACCTGCGTCTCACAGGCTCACTTTTGCTTTGAAACACGTACCCTCTAGCCTAGTTTCCTTTCTGTGACAAATAAACTTTGCTTTGAAATAACCCTAATGACTGGAAAGCACTGCTGGTTTTTTGCACTGACCGCTGGCTATGGGGCACGCTGCCCCAGCCAGAAGCAAACTGACATTAAGGAAGTCAGGAGCAAAAGGGAAGAATAAGCCTGCACCCCTAGTCAGAGGGGATGGAGTTGCTGTCTCTTCTTTCTTGGAAAGAAGCTGCCCTGATGCAGTCTGGGCACAGGAGAGCCCAGCACCCACAGGGGCGGAGCGATGGTTGCATCCAGTGATTCCCCTCCAGCAAAGCGTCTCTCAAACATTCACCCTACGGGGTTTCCCTTTCACAGTTCCCATAGCACTAGTGATTCAACACCACCTGTTCACCTGTAGGGGGCACCAGAAACCTGTAGCTTCATGGGCGGGGGGGGGGTCATTTAATTTGGGGCATCAGCACACTGGCACTTAGAGGATGAGAGCTGGCTGGCTTTAAGAGAGCCCCATCATCTGGCCTTGGGGAACCCAGCACATAGCGTCTCCTTTTGGCGGCTGGCTTTGGTGAGAGTGGCTATAAGGGGGGGGGGGTGGGGGGGTGAGTCATTAAGTAGTATAGTCCCAGCTGCTATGGAAAATGAGTGTAATTTACAAGCTGAAGGAGTAGCAGGAAAAGGAATTAGCATAAGGCAACACACCCACTTCCTAGTCGAACACCGCCTGTTCTGGTCCTCTGTCCTTTCAGTGTGTAGGCTGCACGCGTTTAACGCACCCACTGATTGCTGAGGGTACGCAAGTGACATGACTTTGCCATTTACACCCATTTTGAGGTGTAACTGATCACACCATTTACATCACCACCTCATTTGGCCCACAGACTTCCATGGGAGTCGCCGCTGCTTAGTCCAGGCTGCCGTCATCTGCTTGAGGCTTGGAATGAGCACACACGAATGCGTCTCGTTTTGTGCTGGACACATCAGCGGAACCTCCGAGCTGTGCTTTGTAACCCATTCCGATCAACAGGGCCAGCGGTGGCTGTGCAGGGAGGACCGAGCCACTCTGATCCATGCATTCGTCACCCCCCAGGTTAGAACACCGCAGCACATGCTAGCTAAGGTTGAATGTACCCACTTCCTGGAAGCTACCACTAAATTATTACAAAGCCGGCCACTTAAAGAGCAATAAGGCCAGCATGAAGGTGCATCACCTCAGCACTCTCCAGCTTTCAGTGGCTGCCAGACTGACTTCAAAATCCTTGTCCTAATCTACAGGGCCAATAACAGGCGAGGTCCTGGCTGTCTCATAGACACTGATTCATCCATGGATTGACCAAGGCCACTTTGCTTCTCAGGGATACTTCAGACTTATGAGCACCGGTTTCAGACAAGTCAGGTGCAGAATCAAAGAGTTCTCAGCAGCAGATGCCTGGCTCACTTTACCAGAGGAGACCAGAGTGATCCCAAACTCAGCTCCTTGCCCAGTAATGGCATCTCCTCCCATGGAGACCTGGGAGAAGCGACAACGGTCTGGGAACATGGTGGGGAGGTCACGTGGCAGCTCATGGCTCCCTAGCGTTAGAGCAACTAAAAAGCCAGGAATTAGCCTAGCGATGCGACATCAACGCATTAGTAGATGGATGGGTTCCACATCACCAAAACCTGAACTGCAAACTCCTTCCCAAATCCCCAACACACCCAGGGCCCGTGACCCTCATTACTAAGGG